ATGGACTGCAATTCATATTCAAGTTTCTGGATGACTTATATCAGTTACTTGGCATCTGCAGTAATGCCTTGACTGCCTATCACTCATAGACTGATGGACAAACCAAATATATCAATCAAGAAATTGAGAAGTATCTACAGATGTTCATCAATTACCAGCAAGATGACTGGGTGGAATGGCTTGCATTGGCAGCATTCCAACACAATAACAGAGTCCACTCTATAATGGGCAGAAGCCTATTCTTCATTAACTATAGGCAACATCCTTCTGTCACTCATAACACCAAATAATGAACAACCACCCCTGCTTCTACAGACTCTGTGGCCAAAATAGCAAAGATCCACCTTAAAATAAAGACTGCCCTAAAAAAAGCTGCTAATTCCATGAAAACCCAATATGACAAATGCCAATGACCAGCCCACTCCTATCAGATTAATGATAAAGTCTGGCTGGATATAATCAACCTCCATCTCCCACGACTGAAGTGTAAACTTTCTGACAAACATATGGGCCCATTCTCAATCATATCCAAAGTTAGAATGTCTGCCTACAAACTCCATCTGCTCACATCATGGCACATCTATGACATCTTTAATGAAACACTTCTTACACTGTTGAAGAGGATCTGAGTGCATGCAAGGTAAAAATGGATACAGCAGAGCACTATCCACTGACCACACTCACACCAACACATACATAAAACTCTTAGTTCATGGGGGGACTATAATGTGATAAAAGTAGTAGTCAACAAATATAATTGTCTTTTTCAATGAGATCACAGCACATGAACAGTAATAGCATGCTTATAATGGTCTGAGGTCTCTCTAAGTCTTAAAGCTTTTTGTTTTATCAAAACAAGAGATGGCAACAGATGTTGCTGAGCCTCAAGACAAAGGATACTGCAGCTCAATACAATACATCAAAACTCTCTCACAAAACTCTCCAAAAAAAGTCCTACACACAGCTCAGATCACCTCAAGATCTCTAACACATATAATACATAACTCAAAGCTTTGCACTCTAAGCAAAAACCAATCACAAACACATCCACAAGTGCCAAAGAGCACAGATTCCTGTTCACAAGTTTTCAAACTGATCATAGACCCACAGGATTCAAACCTATGCAATCCAGAGACACAAAACATAAGAAAACACCATCTGACAGACCAAAGGGTTTGAACCTCTGCCACCTGTAGCACTGCACATCACAAATACCTCAAAAACTCAAGATGATGCCTTTCAGACACTGCTCTCTTATTCTCAGATTAGAGTGCAATCTAAAACCTCTTATCAAACTGGGCTCAAGTCCTTTGTGAGCTTTGATACCTTACTTAGTTCTCACAGTGCTCTTAATAATATCCAATAATCAGTTTATTCTCTTGCCCAAAGTTACAAACACAAATCCAGAGCTAGAGCACAAGGCTTTCTGTGCCCAATACACTATAACTGTGGAGGTCAGAAACTTGTATTCTATTCATACAATACTGTATTTAAATACTCTACTATGGTACTTACTAATACAATCCTACTATAGTATCTTCAAAGTGTGGGACTCTGTGCCAGATCTCACAGGTGTTATTCATATGCATATTGCAGTTGCTGTGCTTATTCTCTTTTGGGCCAGGACTGTATAATGTTTTCTTGCTAGCTGGCCTAGCCAGGTCTGCTTGCTTTCTTTTTGCCTCAGTGACACATTCCTGACAGTGGTAAACTGTTCTGAACCCCCAGGGTTATCTCCCATATCTGGAGTCAGCCACAATAGTTATATTCTCCTTTTTCAGTGTCTCAACATTCCCTCCAGCTCATAAATTGCACTGCTTCTGGCCTAACATGCATTAATTAGCTTACCCAATATAGTATGTGTCATACTATGGTATGATGCAGAGTCTCTCACTGTGTTAAGCATGCTAAGGCACTGTAAGTATGCATGCAAGTCTCTGAGCAGTACACATGCTATTTATCTCTGAGGGTAGTATTCCTCTATCTATTCCTTTGTTGCCATCATGTCATTTCTCTGTTCAGCACCCAATTATTCAGATACCTTTCTTTGGATCTCAGTTCTCTGTTCTAAAGCATGTTCCATCAGTGCATCATTGATCAATGTGATCAGAATTGCTGATCATATTTTGATCATATTCTTTTTATTTTTAGCATACCTTCTTGTAATAGTATTGGTGCATTTAGGGCCAAATGCTAGAACCTCATATGCAGTCTAACCCCTCTGGTATTAGTCTGCTACTAGGCCATGCACTCTGCTTCTTATTACTTTAGTTTAGCCTTATGATGGCTAGGTTTCTGTGTGCTCTTATTCTATTCTCAGTTACATGCTTACTAGACTGAAATGCAGTCCATGTAATCTCAATTTTTGCAATTTTACATGTCTGAACATAGAGAGGGCATATCACTGTATGTCACATCTGCCTTCCCTAACCAGGAAAAACCACCTGCACCACATCCTGACATCATTGAGGATGAGGAACATTATGAAATTGACCAAGTCCTCAATTACAAGACTCAACAAATTAAGGCACAGAGGAGGCAGAATGATGACAACAGTGGATTATCTGATCAGCTGGAAAGAGTATGAACCAGAATCAAACCAATGGGTCAATGAGAAATGCATGAATGTGAATGAGATCATACACAAATATGAATTATCCCTAAATTAAACTATCAGGATGATGATCTTAAGGAGGGAGTAATGTTACAATTTTTTCACCTTTTCTTTCTTATTTTGACCTCTAACCTCTCTTTATGCTTAGTCAGAGCATCTAACACAAGCATCTAGGAACCATGAGACACTCTTAGTCAGCATAATCACCTATTGTCTCTCAACATCTAGCAATGCCCTGACAACTGGACAGCATTTCTTTCATAGGTAACCATGATATGATCCAGCAGTCAGCACTATTGCACTTAGCTACACAATTAGTAGGACTATAATTAGCTATGAGACAAACAGTATATAAGTAGCATAGACAATGCCATATATCTCTAGTCTTGAACTATTCTTTATCATCACTATTCTATCTTGAGTCAACTAATCTTTGATCTTGAATGCACAATCCTGCTGCACAACAAGTGAACTCAGGTGTGACTGTATGAACACAATACAGCATCTGTTTATCATGTGTCAGTAGTCACATGTCATCTGGGCCTAACAATTGCTCTATCAATCAATCACAAGTAGGACATAACTAAGTCAGGAGACTTGATTTACTATGATAATTGAATCTACATTCCCCACAACTATGCTCTCCAAGAGGAGATTATTGTGATGTCTCATGACTATGTCACTGCAGGACACCCAGGGATCACAAAGACAAAGGAGTTGGTATTAAAGAATTATTAGTGGCTAAAAATGAGGCAGGACATTAAGAAATATATTAAGAGATGAAAAGCTTGTCAACAGACCAAGTCAAGCATGCAGACATGAGCTGTCTCACTTCACCTGAATGAGGTTCCCACAGAACCATAAACCCACATCTCAGTTGACATGATCACTGGACTCTCTGACTGTAATAGCTATGATATCATTATCATCATCATTGATCAGTTCTCAAAAGCAATCATTTCAATCACATGCTCAACAGAACTATCTTCTAAGGGCTGGGCCAAGATTCTATGCAATGAGGTTTATGCAAAACATGGAATGCCCCAAGTTGTCATTTCAGACTGTGGTCCACAATTTGTCTCCAAATTTCTTGATGATCTCTATTGTCTTCTTAACATCTGAAGCAATGTATCAACCACCTATCACCTGCAAACTGATAGGCAAACTGAATGCATCAATCAAGAAATTGAGAAGTACCTTCAGATGTTCATCAATCATAGACAGGACAACTGGACTGAGTGGCTTGCCCTGGCAGCATTCCAACACAATAACTGTATTCATTCTGTGACTAATAAGGCCCCCTTCTATATTAACCATGGACATCATTCCCATGTTATGGTCACAAACTGACACAACACTACAACCCTCACATTATCTGACTTTGCACAGCTCATGTTGATGATTCACACCAAAATGCATGTTGCCCTCAAAAAGGCTGCTGCCACCATGAAGACACAATACAACAAACACTGACAGCCTGCTCATGAATACTCCCTTAATAGCAAAGTCTGGCTGGCTGCCAGCAACTTTTATCTCCTCTGGCTAAAATGCAAACTCACTGACAAATAAACTGGGCTCTTTCTTATACTAGCAAAAGTTGGCACTTCTGCTTACTATCTAAAATTCCCCAACACCTGGTGAATGCACCTAGTATTCAACAAAACACTCCTGACACCCTACAATGCACTGGCTTTCTCCAACCAAGAGGCTCCACCTCCTCCTGAGCTGATTCTAATCATAGATAAAGAATATTATGAGGTCAAACAAATTCTGGATCACAAGCTTTGCAAAGTCTGAGCATATGGTGGTGGTAGTCATACTATCATCTACTATCTAGTCAAATGAAAAGAATATGATCCTGAATCCAACCAATGCATTCACAAGCAGAACCTCAATATGGATGACACCATTCATGACTATGAAATTTTCATCAATTAATCTATCAGAACAATGGTCTTACAGAGGGGGTGATATTATGATTTTCTCCATATCTTTTTCTTTTCTTATCTTATCAGGATGTCTATCTTATTTTGAGCACTTTTTTGAAGGGCATGAGAAGATTAGATAATCACAACAGACAAAACACCATTATACTCAGTCACCTCACCCACAGACAATTCCTCATTGTCTCATCCCTGATGATCAAGCAGTATCAGTATCATAGAACAGAACAACACAATAGGTAGTAGTTATATTTATTACAAGCAGAACAGTATATAAGTAGGATAGCTCTTACTGTAGTAGTTCAGCTTCAAGCTATAAGTTTATCCCACACTATCTTCTCTCAAGCCTAGCTTGTCTCTGGCCTTAAAGCACTATTACCTATCAGAACACTGGAAGTGGACTCTAGCATGACTGTATGAACACAATACAATGCTAGTTTATCATGCATTCAGGTCACATACTAGTTAGGTCTGACACTCCAACCTCTGTCACTGAAGTGAACCTCTTTGAGGATATATTCTCTGCTGCCTCAAGGAGGGATGAAAAGCTGCAGAAAGCACCACCCATTGTTGTTGCTTTAGCAGCATTAAAGGATCTTTATAATACTTTATACTCATCAAGGAACAACAAAAAAGGACATAAAGTCATAGATATAGATTTATTTCAGAGAGTATGCATGGAGGGAATGCAGTCCCTATTGGCTCTGTATACAGACCTAAAATCCTTGACTTATAGAAAGTGGGCAGCTTTATCACTTTGGATTGCAGTTACTTTACTTTGTGGCATGTACTGCACTTGGACTCTTCACAAATTGGTTCATAAATATATGTCCAATTACACTCTTCTCCTAATAAATTCATATAGAAATTGGAATGAAACTATGCTTGTTAACAGAGACCTAGCTCAAGACATTAATTTATATCTTCAAGAGCTAGAAAAGGACATTACAACAGTGAAGACTATGCTATTTTTGATGCACTCTGATATAAAGGAGACACATGAGATAATGAAGAAGATATCCTTGTGTACAGCACAATGATACCTCTATATATTAGATTATCACTGGTAGGAAGTAAAGAAGAGTCAATATGTTGATGGGCATGAGCATACAGATGTAGTATGAGACTATGACAAGGTGTTTATTCTTAAAATCAAGAAACTTCAGCATTGGATGAAGATCTTTGACAAGGATGGAAAGCCAGTTGATAGGCTGTCCCAATGGAAAATGTATTGTTCTCTGGTTTCACAATGAGTCCATCTTCCATGCCCACAATTGAAGGAAATCTTGGTATCATATTGCAGAACCAGCCAAGCCATACCACAAAAGAGAGAGTAGGGTGCTTCTCTTATAATTGCAGATTTCTTCTTAGCAGACTTTGGTTGATTACAGTCAGCTGATGGCAAGAGAAGTGCATACTAAGTGATGAAGCCAGAAAAGAACTGAGATAGATATTTCACTACAGATGACATTATTGCATAGGCCAATAAGGTTATAGACATCTTTTCAGACTTTAATGATGACATTGAGCATGTCTTCATTTATGATAATGCTACAACTTATAAAAACCATGCAGATAATGAGATTTCTGCATGTAAAATGCCAAGGAATATCTCTCCTCCTGGAAAAAACTGGCTAGTTGATATCACATGATGTAATAATCATAGAAAGCCTGTCTGCAAATCTGATAGTTCCTATAAAAAGATTAAAAATCAAATAAAGGATGCTATATTCAATGATGCCCCTCAGCCTCTTTACTTTTCTGAGGATCATTCTTGTGCTGGTGTCTTTAAGGGAATGGCAACTATCCTTCAGAAGCATGGCTTTTCCATAAAATATATCAAGACCAAAAAAGCAGAGTGAAAAGACTTTAAATATGTATCATCTGCTGAGGATTGCTGTTGCCATCAGATATTATTCAATCAGCCAGACTTTGCAAATGTAAAATCATTTCTCAAGATCTCTTGTGAGGCATTGGATATACAGATCATTTTTCTGCTAAAATTTTATTGCAAGCTAAACTCAATTGAGCAGTGTTGGGGCTATGCCAAGTGGCTGCACTGACTTAACCCTGAATCCTTCCAGAAAGATATACTTGAAAACTAATGTTTTAGCAGCATTAGAAGAGATTCTCATTGTTAGCATGTGTCAGTAAGCTTTTTAATAACTTAAATGATTGGAAATAGCAGCTAACATCCTCATCCCTAGATTTGTCAACTGTTCTCTTTGATTTATGGATGCCTATGGATGTGGGTTAAATGATAGACAGGCTGCTTAGACAGCCAGATAATATTGAGAGCATCTGGCACTATCAGATAGCATTCTTGAAGAACTAGAGAAGGAAAATATTGTATAACTGCATCTGCTTTTTAAAAACACATTAATTTCTCTATGGATTCAAGACCATTGTCAAATCTCTTTCATTCTGAAATACTTAAACATGTTTCTCACAACTTTTATTTTTTATATCTGTGATATTATACATGCAGCAGTTTCTATTCCTTGTCAAGTGTTTCATTCACTCAGTTTGAACATCCATATCACATTAATAGTCACATCATATGATGTTGTCTATCTTACTTGTTACATTACAGTATTTAACTATTCTGCAGTCATGCTTTAATACAACCTCTTATAGTATTATTAATGGGCAGAACTCTTACTCAGAGTCTCATGATATTCATTTCTACTGTGTGCACAGTTTCATATGCATGTTCTGCTCTAACTCAAGACTAGGCCCACTGTTTTCAAGTGACCTGACATTGGCTAGTTCAGCTATCCTGTCCACTGATATGCAGGCTACATGTCCAGCCCTATAATTTGCAAATTCTGCATAACACACTAGAATATGCTAGTAACTGAGAAT